GACGAGTCGTCATTTGCTATAGCATATCCTGTGCAAAAGTATCGTACTCGTATAAATGCAAATCTTGCATTACAAATCTTGCTCTTAAGGTAAAACTGCATTACAAATTTTATTTCTCATGCTAAGGAAATTTGTAATGCATTTATAGCGACGGCTCGTAGCAGGCACTGGTGAACAAGCCGGGGCGACGAGTCGTCATTTGCTATAGCATATCCTGTGCAAAAGTATCGTACTCGTATAAATGCAAGTCTTGCATTACAAATCTTGCTCTTAAGGTAAAACTGCATTACAAATTTTATTTCTCATGCTGAGGAAATTTGTAATGCATTTATACGAGTACGATACTTTTGCACAGGATATAGCACTGCTTGTTTTCCCACCAGCTCCACCGACAACTTGTGAAGAGTACGAAGCCGGCCGGACGAGAATCAAATCCGCGAAGGTGATAATCTTGCTCACTCCTTGTAGCATCTCGAATTCATCATCATCAACCACTTCGGAAGATGAAGAATCGGAACAATCCATTGTCTGGTCTCCTCGTCGGGTTGTAAAAGTTCTACGTCCCCCTGGAAGTGATTCAGAGGGCGGGGCATCGTCTTCTTTAGCGAAAAGTCCTCGAGCTGCTGTGGCATCCTGGCCCCAAGGTGGTGGACACGGACCTGCTAATACTTGCCTTCTCCTCCCCGCGTTTTCACTACAGCTAGCGTCTACAGTGCCTCGCGCACAGCTTGTTTCTGTTGCGAGAGCTGCAGAAGTAGTAGAGCCCACCTTTGCGACCACATCCTTATCCGCCCTGCCGCCACGACTGCGTCCGAATAGACTACTTTTCCAGAGCCGCGAGAACATTTTTGAGATCTTGTAGTTCTTTTTGCCCGGCTTAGTATTTACGTTATTTCCGCCATCCTGTGCGAGCGTCGTCGCCAAATCGGTGGTGTTGTGATTTTCAGGGTTCATGTCACCTGCACTCGCAGTCCTTGCTTGGTATCCTCGACGTACTGCGTAGGGACCCAATCCACCATCGCGGCTCCGGAGGTCGCGCAACGTGCGCAAGAACTCGTAATTCTTGCCATCATTGCCGGTTTTCTGCTGCTGGTTTGCGGGAAGATTATTTTTTGCCGCGACAGGTTGTTGCGATTGTTGTGCGACCTGTTCTTCTTCTACTTGAACGATTTCCCGGCACTTCCCGAGAAAGTTTTCAAACTCTGGGCTCTCGGTGGAGACAATGCTCCATTTGCTGGAGTCGTTGATATTATCCTGTGCAAAGCTATCGCACTCGTCTAAATGTTGGTGATGGTGCAAGTCTTGCATTACAAAGCTTGTTCCCAAGACAAATCTGCATTGCAAATCTTATTTCTCATGCTGAGGAAATAATTTGTAATGCAGTTATACGAGTACGTGTACGATACTTTTGCAGTTCATAGATATTCAGGTGGTTGAAGGCTGGATCGGAAGTTGTACTGCTTTTTCCGGTATCCTGTGCAAAAGTATCGTACTCGTAGTAATTGCATTTATGCATGACAAGTCTTTTTCTCAAGGCCAGTCCGCATTACAAATTCAATTTGTAATGCTAAGTCAATTACTATTTAAACAGCAGAAAACCAGAGTTTTTGAAGCTTTGGGGTGTGTTCTGGGGTATGTAAGGTGGCCGCGTAGCACCGTGATTCGTAATTTGCAGGGCACACCCCGAACACACCGCAGACACACCCCCGACACACCCCAGCCGGAACTTTTGCGGCTTTGGCTTGCGTTCTGGGGTATGTAGAGTGGCCGCGTAGCATCGTGGTTCGCAAGTTACAGGGCACACCCCGAACACATATCAGACACACCCCCGACAGACACCCACGGCAAAGACCCCCGACACACCCCGGGCAACCACACCCAGGGCAGGGGGCAGAACAAATATCCAGAGCGGAGAGCGTTTCCGGATCGATCCGAATCGCGTGAAAGATCCAGAGCGGAAGAAATATCCAAATCTGACGCAGGCAAGTAGTTGCGTAACCGGCGCCATTGCATACGCGGCCCGGCATCAGGTGTCCGGGTCCAGGTGCTGGCGCTTTGGACTCGGTCCCCGCGTCATGAGCTAGGGGCCAGCTGTTGGCGCTTCCCGGAAACTAACCGCGCGGCCCAGGGGCAATCAAAAGCCCTAGGGCTTGCAGCTAGGGGGCCCACCCCCCGCGTCATGACCTAGGGGCCCGCTTTGGGCGCTTCCCGGAAACCAACCGCACGGCCCAGGGGCAAGAGCCCTAGGGCAGCGCGGGGACTCGGTCCCCGCGCCATGACCTAGGGGCCACCCAGCTCTTGGCGCTTCCCGGAAACCAACAGCGCGGCCCCGGGGCAAAAGCCCTAGGGCAACGTGGGGACTCGGTCCCCGCGTCACGACCTAGGAGCCAGCTGTTGGCGCTTCCCGTACACTAGCCGCACGGCCGAGGGGCAAGGGCCCTAGGGCCGGTAGCGCGGGGACTCGGCCCCCGCGTCATGACCTAGGAGCCAGCTGTTGGCGCTTCCCGTAAACTAGCCGCACGGCCCAGGGGCAAAAGCCCTCGGGCAGCGCGGGGGCCCGGTCCCCGCGTCATGACCTAGGGGCCAGGTGCCGGCGCTTTCCGGAAAAAAGCTAACCGCGCGGCCCAGGGGCAAGAGCTCTGGGGCAGCGCGGGGGCTCGGTCCCCGCGCCATGACCTAGGGGCCAGCTGGTGGCGCTTCCATCCCGGAAACCAGCCGCACGGCCCAGGGGCAAAGGCCGTAGGTCAGCGGGGGGACTCGGTCCCCGCGCCATGACCTAGGGGCCAGCTCTGGGCGCATCCCGGGAACTAACCGCCCGGCCCAGGGGCAAAGGCCCTAGGTCAGCGTGCGGACTCGGTCCCCGCGCCATGACCTAGGGGCCAGCTACAGACCCCGCGCCGGAGTTATCGGCGCCCCCCCGGCCCGGCGCCAGCTTCTTCTTTTCTCCCTGCCCAGTGCCACCACAACCCCCGAGCCCCCTCGTCCCAGACAAATGCCGGAAGGTCGCCGCACGGGGACTCTGTCCCCGTGCTCGGACCTTGTTTGTCATGCAATCTATACTAGTACGATGCTTTTGCAGTTGATATCCGGTCGTTTTCTTGTCGTCCGGAATAAGCGGACTGCCGTAGCAAGTATGAATTACAAAAATGTCTGGGTCTGGAAGGTGGCAACTTGTCATGGTAAATCTGAAGAATGCAAAAATCTGTGTTGCATGAGTGCCAAAGGCTGTCCACTTTTGCACAAGTTGGAAGGGAGTTTCTCATCTAGGATAGGCATGGCAGAGACCTCGCAGAGTCTGTCATGCTAAGTCCCGCATTCCAGACCTCATGGGTCAGGGTCATGGAAAATCTGCCTGACAGGTTTACACTTTTCCAGACCCAGACAGTTTTCCACTTGATAGCAAGACTTGTGAAACCAATCCAGCCCGAACTCCTGAAGCTTGGGATTTTTTGGCAGGACTTCTGTAACTGAACCGCAAGGGCCGCGGGGGCGCGTGGGGTTCTTAACGCGATCGCGACGACCGGCAGAAGCAGTGCCCTCATCAAGTGTGTCCGCGGCCTCGGCGTGGTTCGATGAAACCCGTGTGATAAAAACGAACATGTCCACCGGCAGCCAACTGATCCAATTTCTTTGCAGGTGCAAGATTTTCAGTTTGCTTGCAAGAACGACACTTGGTCTACAACTGGTACTGGATGACCGCGATAAGGTTGCTGGTGCTGTAGCGACGTTTTCGTCTTGGCGGTGCGTTTATCGAAAAATGGAAAGCATTTATTATGTTTCACCAACTGCATTGATTGTTTGTGTTTGTCGTGTTCGAATTGTGGTGCCTGATCCTCTTCACATCAACTCAGAACTTTAGTATAGTGTTGACAAGCGCGCCGGACAGGCGAAGCAGCTTCTCAGTTACAGTTACAGCAGACAGTTACAGTTACAGCATACAGTTACAGTTACCGTTGCACCACCTCGATGTAATGCAAAAAAGGTCCGCTTTCATCTCATTTTTGATACAGCGCAGAAGTCGATTTGCAACCCTTCCAGCCGGTTCTCGTTCAGATAAAGCTCTTCGAGCGACCCTGGCAACCTGTCCAATTTCAATACCCCAGAAAGCCGGTTTTTCTGCAGGCCTAGGACCCGGAGAGAGGGCAGGAAACAGGGTAGGGAGTGCTCCGCGTGGTCGTTACCTGGAGCCGCAGCGGAAGTTCCACTTCTACTTGTCGTGCTGAAGCACAGGGGGGCAAGCGCGCGGTTCTGCAGGAAGTTTCCGCCAAGCTGCAGCTCTTGCAGTTTGTTGTGTTGGAAGTTGTACTATGCGACTGCCAATTATCTTCGTGAGCCAACATCTGCATCTTCTTCGGATAGCATCTTCGATTCGGAATTTTATTGATGCGTTCATCGTCATCACCTGACCGCCCCAGGGGACGGGTTTTTAGCGTACAATGGACATTTGGGCAACCACGTTGTATTTTTTACGTGTCATTCTTACTCGTGATACATACATGTACCTCATGTGGATGGCGATGATACAAAACCAAGATGAAGATTATATTGGCTGAAATAAAAAGCTGTTCACCCGTTCCATAAAGCACCCCCCACTCGTCCATGAAACACTTGCTCCAGCTGCCATGGCAACACAAGCAGGTCGCAGCGCCGGAAGTCCAAAACAACCCGCTGGCCATACTTTTGCCCTCGCTCGATGTCATCTTCTGCCTGTCGTGAAGATGATGATCCACATCCACCTTGCTGCCTGCTGACCGCTGCGAGCGCGGCTGTAATCACGCGCGCTGGGGGCTGAAAGGTAGTATGGACCTGCTGCCCAGTTGGGACGGTCGTCGGAGAAGTCGTTCCGCCGCCGCGGCCCGAAGCAGTGTCATGATCTACCATGTTTGTCGATTTCCAGCTAGGCCTATCACCATCACGGAGGGCGCGGCGCCGCTCCCATGGGGGTCAAGCTATTAAGTACTTTCATCATGATCATTTTCATTGTCGTCATCGTTCCATTCGTCATCTTAGGTGCTGTGCGGTAAATCAAAAACTCTTGTCAACAACATTAGACTTGAGCTAATTAAACGCGAACGCGACGGCATTACGGTTACGGATTTCTTCCACAGAGAGAAGCAGAACGAAACCGAAATCGAAACAAAAATCCAGATCCAACGCGTAGTAATACAAAATCCAGATCCGATCGAAAGAAAAATCCAGATCCTGCTGCATCAGACGACGGGAGTAGTAATACAAACCTAGTATATTACGTGAAAACCAAAACACAGAACGAAGTATCTGTTACAACATGGCTGGAAAGATGAATGACAAGCCCAATAGCTGGTGCACCGCATGCTTTCGATTGCTATAGTACTATTTACAGACTTACACTTTCAAACATAGATTTACGGTTTTTTTTCTTCCGTATGTCAAAAAATCCTCATCGCCAAGGGATGCTCGTCCACCATGTCGGGGCACTTCACTCTTGGGGACTTCAAAACGTCGAAAAACAGCTCCTCGTCGACGTCATCAGACAATTTTGGTCCGATTCCCAGACCGCTGTCTGCCAGCTCGTGCGCGAACACGCCTTCGCCCGTGACGTGCAGTTTCAACGTGTTCCGCCTTTCGTGGTCGATGACAGGGGCGTGCGCGGGTACGACGGTACTCGTGGTCCCCTCGCGCTTATCAAAATAAAAAATCCCCCCTCCCCATATTGAAGCGCAAACTTCTGTTGCTGGATTTGTGTACACGAATCAGTCTTGTCTCGCAGCGAGACACTACAGGCAAAGCCCCAGCCAGCGTCGGATTGTTTTGTTGTAGGCGCTTGGCATAAGAGAGGCCTGCCCTGTAGGTGAAACAGCATTACGAATCGCCTCCATAATGCGGCGGATTCTTTGGGTTTGCCTTCTTGCAAGACAGATGTGATTTGTGATCTCAAATCCGCAACACAAATTTTTCTAAACGTAAGGGGGGACTTTTCCTCTCAATAGGGGTGCGCTCCCTGTACCTGCCCTCCGGGAAGAATAGCTTGGAAACCGTATTGCAGTGAAAAACGCCCCCACCCCCAGAGGTGCAATTATTTGTGGTGCGAAGTTTCCAAAAGAAATCTTTTTGTCATGCATGAAAGGAGTACTTATGAATCTCAAAGATGCGGATTCTAGGCGTAAAGGTAAACTGCATCGCGTGCATGACAAGCGCCACTCTTGCTGGGATCTTGTGCAATACAAATTGCTGCTATTCACGATCGAAAGTCTGTGATGCTGATAGATGCAAGAGGACGAATGTTTTGTTTGGGAATGTTTGCAATACAAATGCTGGGGCATTTTTCACTGTGATAAACCGCCAGGAGGCAGGTCAAGGAACTTGTTTTGCGCCACCTGCTATCCACTGCAAATATAATGTCCGGGTCTGGAAAGTTGTGATCCTGAAGTGCAGATCACTGAAACGCTTGCCAATGCAGCCAAGCATGACAAGTTCTTTCAACGCTGTCCCAATCCCATTCGCAGCGCGCATTGCAAGTCGCCCTTTTGCACGACAAAGAACGCTGCGGGTAATTTGTGGGACATGCAATACAGATTTTCTTGGAAAAATACAAGGCCAGCATCACAAGTTCACTTCTTCCAGACCCTGACAACTATTTGCGATGCATACTTGCATGGAGCCACCGCTGACCGTTTCCGTCTGATCAAAATACGCCTCCCAGAGTGTTTTATGCATTGCAAAAGTATCGCACTCGTATAAATGCATTACAAAAACAAATGTTGTACTCAGCATGAGAAATAAAATTTGTAATGCGGATCTGCCTTATGTAATGCATGACTGCGATTAATAATACTACGAGTACAATACTTTTACACAGGATATGTTTTCCGGTAGTGGTGATGTGCGTCGTCGGAGGCATCCTCGAGCGTGACGTATCCAAGAAAAAAACGCTGTTGGTGTAAATTTGTCATGCGCAACATGCAAGATGATTGCGTCTGTCATGCTTGGCATGCATCGTAGGGCCCATTAAAGGGCGTTTTCACGTACTATCTGCGCATTACAGGTTCTTGCTATCGTGCCGTACAGATTTGTAATGCTGTTCCTGCAAAAAGGTTACACCTACAATGTTTTTTTTCTTGGATATGACATGGACTTTTTTCAGTGGCTGCTTGAAAACCAAGAGCGGGTGATCGTTGATGGAGGCCTCGGCCTCGGTTGAATGTTGCTCCCCGATATATCCTGGGTAAAAACGTCCCCACCTGCCCAGAGTTGTCATGCACATGCGCAATGACAGGAATCGATTTGTTGTAATGCGCAGCTCCACGAGTGTACTGCAGAGGGAAACTTGTCATTCACAGCAACCGAAACTTGGAGATTTGTGTTGCTAGATTCCCAAGAACTTGACTATGGGGTGGGCACGTTCGTGCTTAGGATACGATTATATCGCTTTTATTCCCCCGCGAATCTGCATGCGTCATCGAGTCCAGGTGCTTCCGCAGCCACTGTGGGAGGTCCGTAGAGACGATATGAGAGTGCACAACTGCTCTCGACGTCCCTCACGTCTCTCATTTGCATTTGTCATGCAAAAATTCCAAATCCACTTACTGTGGCACGACGAGGTCGAGGACCGTTATTTGCACGACAAATTTTCTCTGTACTAGCCAAAACAGTACCAATACGGCACTCGGTGCGCCGTCAACTTGCCATGCACATGGACATCAGGCGCGATGTTTGCTGGGGTGTACTCTGTTGCTGCTGGCTCCGATGCCATACAAATTAGGGGGAACAAAGGATAAAGAACTTGCGCACTTTCATAGACGACATAGTTTTCGGCGAAGGGCGGCCTGCGAATCGTGTGACCGGGGTAGTCGAAAACACAAAACGGGTTGTCGTGATCCAGTTGCGAAGCGGAAGCAGCAGCAGCTCCCGTGAACAAGGTGTCCTGCAACATAGTGCTTGCTAAAAAGCTGTGCTATAGCTGTACTTACTTAAATTCGCGAGAAAAGAAGTTGAAGTTGTAAATGAGACTTATGAAACCACGTAAAAAAGAAATATGTTCTACTGCTCATCTAGATCTAGCGAGGATGTTCTTGAAAACCACGACTTTTCCATATCCTTCTGTTGCCCCGTAGAAGAATCTGAGTTGGCAGCAGGCCTACGTAATTGCGATGACGAGGCGAGCTCGAAACGAATTCCCTCACGAATCAGAAGCCTACAGCATCAAGTGTAAAAGTGTCTGGGTCTGGAAGAGTGCGCGATTTGTCACGCAGCTTTTCCATGACCCATGAAGCCTGGAACGCAGCACCTAGCATAACAGATTCTGTGCGATCTCTCTTACGCCTATCCTGCATGAGAAACTCCCTCCCGGCTTGGTCAAAACTGGACGACTTTTGGTAATCATGCAACACAGATTTTTGCATGCTTCAGATTTAGCATGACAAGCTGCATTCTTCCAGACCCAGACATTTTTACATTTAATATACAGAATTGCGATGACACGGCGAGCTCGAAACGAATTCCCTCACGAATCTATCAAAAGCAAAAATGTCTGGGTCTGGAAACTTGTGATGCTGGGCGGCGTCTCATGATGAGGCTACAAATGCTGGCTCAGCATGACAAGTTTCTGAGCTCCTAGGTGTTGCCTATTCTGCATGACAAACTGCGCTTCTGCATCACAGAAAAACGGAGCTCTTGGGTAACGTGCATGACAGATTTAAGAGTCATGCCAGACAAGCATGACAGACATGAATTCTTCCAGACCCAGACATTTTTACATTTGATAGAATCAGAAGCCGCACAATGGCGGATAATTCTTCGCAAAAAAGGCGATATTGCGACAAGAAACAGGTAAAAATGCGTGGCTCTTTCTTCACCCTGCTCGTCAGGATGATCCCCTCTGTCTTGCGTCGACACGAAATCAACCATTTTACTTATTTTATCGCAGTACCGAAGCGAATGAACGAAACGAACAACAAGATAAGAAGTACTGCAACTAGCTGGTGCACGACCTCAACACCAAACTACTCTGCTCCTTTGGTGCAAAGAGATTGATACGAGGAGAACGACAGGTAAAAATTCTGGAAAATAAATCCACAAAGTTCTTTGATGTTCTATTCCGTGAAGCTGCTACTTCCAGCGTGCTCGTATGCTGACAATTATACCGGAGGTAACCACAGGTAGAAGTGGTCTCTTCGTCAATCAAACGATCAACATACTGCTGGAACAAGAAACATTCACCTTGATGCAATAGCCCTAGCACAGTAATACAATATAATACCGTCCTCGCATTTTCGTTTTTCGTTATTCAGCATCTCAAGATTTTTGGTTGATAACACAAACGAGGCTTCACATCAAATCGTTTAGTTTTTTCTTAGAAGTTTTTCGTTTTCCTTTTCCCTCAAGCTGAGGGATAAAGTAGTAACTCGCGCGAGCGCAGTTACATTAGATAGCTGTAGTAAGTGGCGCTAGCGTTACTGGTATCTTCTCGAACTTCTCCGCGTAGTTCAGGTTTTGTGGCAAAACTCGTTGAGGACCAGAAAAAGTTGCATACCCATACCAGCGGTACTAGATTTGCTGCAAGTTCGATAGCTGTTTCAAAGGAGCAACAGGATAAAACAAAACTGCTGGTGGTGCTATCTTCAATATTCAATATATAAAGAAGCGCCGAGTAGTAGGGTAAGTTTCCGTCGGCTGTCATCTCGAAGCCTGCTGCCCGGCTCTTTTTTTCCTCTGCTTTCTTCGTGTTTCTTCTAGAGCAGAGTCGTCTCACGATAAAACTGCGATCACTTGCACTCTGCAATGGAGTGAATATCTTTCGAGCTTGCCACTGCCACAGTTCTATTCTTTACAGATGAAAAAGTATAGCTGCAACACGCAGACACAAGCAAAGTGAGTTTGGTCTGCTGAACCCAAAATCATATCTAGATATTCCAGGCACTGATGACAACTGCATTTACAAGTAGAGAAATATATGCACGCTCTGCTCTGCATTTCGGTGAATAGATTCACAGGCACTTCGTTGGCTAAGTGCCGGCGCATCTTCTGACGGTCATAATGCATGCTGCAAGCATGATACTGCTCCGATTTTATTTTGTGCGCGATGAAGGTTGTTTAACATGCGTCATCGACGGATGACAAGCTTTTGCCACTGATGAGCGATGACAAGCATAGCTGTCCAAGATGGAATCTCGGTGAAAAAATATTCCTTCGCCCACTGCTAACTAGCCAAGGTTAGCAAAAACAGGTCAAGAAGATGAGATTATCACTTTATTCCTCCAGGAGAGCCACGCCCGCCACGCCGTTGCGCCATCTACTACAGAGCCTCTTGCGTGGTCGTAGTAAATTTACAGTTTACATATAAATCGGAACAAAATGCAGCAAAGCAGCACGCAGGCTGACAAGAAAAATTAGGTCTAAATTTGTATCGGGATGATAAGTTGTAAAAATTGTATTTCATAGCTCATATTTCACTTGAAAAGTCGTGGGGAAGCAGCTGGGTGATGTTTTTCATCTCATCTTCTAAATAATTTTAGTACAATTTAATCTCTCATCAAGTGCAGACTTTGTAAGACCAAAGCCCCGAAACAAGGGATGAAATTGTCGTAGAAAATAAAATGAGCGGGCAGTCTTCCCCATCCGTGGTGGGAGATTGAGACGTCAAAAAAGGACACAGCGTATTAAACGCGCGTCTTCTTGACATTGACTTGATCGTCAAGTATAGATTTATATCGGATAGGATTATACTGCGGTATGAACTAGAGACATGATTAGTGAAATACGACCCACATAATTCACGGTTCTTGTGAACCTCAGGCTAATATTCTGGGTCATAGTTTTTTCCCTGTTTTTGAAAAATAGTACGCACGGCCCCTTACTATTGTAAAACTAGTGTTGACAATGACAATCACCTCCCCAGGGCAAAAAAGCCGAGAAGAGAGAAAGCAACACCAGCAGGGCGCGGAAAAGTATAAAAAAAAAATCTCCAGGTATGCGGTGTAAAATTGGTAAAAGACAATAAAAAAATCTTGTCCCTCGTCTCATATTTGTGCCAATCACCGGGTTGATGGTGCGGGCTCTTCTATATCTAAAAAGGTGCCGCTACTCAAAACGTTTTTATCAAAAAGTAACTTCATCCTCATAAATGTCAGAGGCTGTTGGAGATGAAGTGCGTCGCGCTGAAATTTTTGTTGTCTCGCTTGTAGTTCCTATCGTGATCATACATCGTGCTGCTCTCCGTGGTCTCCAGTGGAGTATTCAACAAATTTAATACATAAATATTTACCAAGCGTTGGCATAATAAAGTCCCGCGGTGCCAGTGTTAATACTCATAGAATGCTGTTGACCAGCTACAGATCCACCAGTGCCAGCAGCATGCCGGGCCGCCTGTTGCTCCTGGTAAGTCGTTGCTCCCGCAATGTTGCTAGCAGGGGCTCCTAGTCCTACAGTGCTCCCTTGATTCCCATCATATATTGAGAGGAAAAATCCCCCCTCCCCATATCAAAACGGAAATCTGTGATGCAGCTTTGTTGTCACAAATCAGCTTTGTCATGCTACACGGGAAAAGATGCGGACTGTAGTGCTGGGTGGCGTGGAGGGGGAGCCTTGCATCTTCAGCAT